GTTAATCTATAAGAAAAATAAAATTACATTTTTTATAAAAATACTATGTTTGATATTAATATTCCACATTTGATTATCTGCTTTTATATTAGATACATTTTATGCTGTTTTAGTACTAATTTAATATTAAGAACATATAATTACCAAAGCTTATCATTAATTTACCTAACCGGTCAAATCACCAGTTTATAAATTTCTTATTTTATTTTATTTCTCATTAAATTTCTTATTTTTAGAAATCAAGATATTTTTCTTAACATCCAAGATAATTTTTACCAAAATAAAAAACGACTGTTTCATCGTTTATTTTTTATTTTAAAATACGTGTACATTAAATGTACGCCAGTAGATTTTGTGTTAAATTGAGTGTAAATATATGATTATTGCGTTGCTAAATCGGTAGTAGATCGGTAAATACAGCAGTAGATCGGTAAACACGCCAGTAGATCGGTCATAAATCAATAAATCGATAATATATCGGTTCATCAGTAAATCAGTAGATCAGTAACCTTGAGAATGTCGTAATATCTTAGTTTAAACATTTCTAAATATTCAAATTTAAAAATCACATTTTAAATGAAGCATTTTTACGAAATTGTACTAAACATACTCGATATAAAAAGCTGTTACAGATCAATGTATTGCATGTTCTTAATCTACACCAGGGGAATATTCCCAAGTGATAATTTTCAATTTTGATAAAGCTTACGTACAAAGTAATTCTTGAAATAAACATCTGTCGTACATTTGTTGTTTAATTGCTGATATAACAAGGGGCCATTAATATGATATCTCACTATGTGATTACTACAGATAGTAATTTTATTTATTTTTAAAAAAATGTTATTATTATGATAAAAGAAAGAAATGCGTTAATCTATAAGAAAAATAAAATTACATTTTTTATAAAAATACTATGTTTGATATTAATATTCCACATTTGATTATCTGCTTTTATATTAGATACATTTTATGCTGTTTTAGTACTAATTTAATATTAAGAACATATAATTACCAAAGCTTATCATTAATTTACCTAACCGGTCAAATCACCAGTTTATAAATTTCTTATTTTATTTTATTTCTCATTAAATTTCTTATTTTTAGAAATCAAGATATTTTTCTTAACATCCAAGATAATTTTTACCAAAATAAAAAACGACTGTTTCATCGTTTATTTTTTATTTTAAAATACGTGTACATTAAATGTACGCCAGTAGATTTTGTGTTAAATTGAGTGTAAATATATGATTATTGATAGAAGTCGTTTATTTGCTACGGCTGATTTTGGGAAAAAAACATTCGAAAAATAAAGTAGTATTCCATATTTAACAACGTTAGAGTTCGTACATTGCAAATATATATTTACATTACAAAATACTTTTAAATCAAACAAGTAAAGATTACGCGGTATTTGATCGATTAAAACTTCGCGGCTACAGTGGACCCACTTCGTGAACGTTCGTACGTTTTCGGCGCCCGATTAAGCGTTTCCTGCGCAAGGATCACTCGAGCTTCCTATCATTAACCAGTACGAATCTATCCATCCCTTCGTGAAGACGTTTCACGAGCGGAGTACGCTAAAAAATCCGGTTCCTGTAAAAAATCAAATTCAACAGCATTACAAATATGCTCACTAACAAGTGTCAAATCATTCTGTGCAGTCGATCATTGCCACGAAAATTTTCCAATGGTATTTATAATATCTTTTATACACTCTTCATCTTTCATGTCGGTAGTTACACGAAAATTCAAGATAGGTCAAAATATGTCAATTTGTATAAAAGACAATCAATCCGCGCACGCTACACCCAGAAAATCGATAACTGACTTTCTCTTCTTACTGATTTACACATTTATTGTCTGTCACAAATTGTGTCGATGAATAATGTAGAAAAATATACAGCTATTATTTGAATAAATTAAATAGTTAATGTTTCTTTTCTATCCGTTGTAGTAAAGATGGTACTTAAATACACCAGACTTAACGTAAATAAAATGAATGTTAACTATACATAGTGGTTTAATAAAATTTTAAATATGTTAACAGTTTTTTTTATCAAAACACACATTCGTGTCATAACAGAACAGCAACCTATTTAGTAACTTAAAGTAACAAATTAAATTTGTTCTTGAAAGATAATAGTGCAAAACACTTACTTTGTTTTGTAATATCGTTCAATGATTCTCGTAAGTTTTTATGTAACGATCGGAAGTATGGAAACCACTTATCTCCATTATTCTCAGTTTTTGAAAAATTCTATTTTGAAAAAATATCAGATTTTGAACACTGAATTTTGTTTTTTAATTATAAATTTCTTTATTGAAAATTATTCTGCAGACTGTCGTGAATAAAATAATGTACGCTTTTACGACATTATGAATATTTAAAAATATATTTGAAATTATTTAAATTATATTAAAATATTTAATTGCAATTAAGGATATTTTAATTTATTTAAAAAATTTTTAATGTGAAGCAAAGTTTAATTATATTGTATAATAGGACACATATTTAGGGCAACACCATCAGATAGAAATAAAGAATAAGTTTTGATTTTGATGAAGCAAATAAAATAGTACCGGAAGTCAAGAAATACTGCAAGTGAACGTCAAGCTATTAATTTTGAAAATAAATATAAAATTAATAGAGGAATGAATTTTATAAAACGATTAATTTTTCAAAATAAACTATATCTCTCACGTTTTCAACTTTATTTGAATATATTTAAATATATTTAAATATACATATTATTATTTTAAAAAACATATATGTATATATATATATATATAAGTTTAATTATGAACATCTACAAAATCATTTTCTGTACACAGAATTTGTATAACCATTATAGTTGAAATACAAACTATTCTTAAAATTCAAAGTTTAATTTTTTCTTCTTAAAATTTAAAGGTGGTGAAGAAAAATAATTTACAGAGTGCAACATTTATCTTATATTCAGTAACAAGATCAGATATAATTTATATAATTGATTTACTAATCCTACCGATTCTTAGTGCTTATCTTATCTAAAAACCATATGATTAGACGAAAGATGGTCGTTTACGAGTATTTGCTTAGGCGGCAACATACTTGTTTATCGACCTTCTGCTTTACAAAGTATATTCAGGGGCGGTCCTAGGAACTGTGTCACCCTGTACTACCTGACCCAAGTCAAATTCCCAAATTTTCACGCTTTTTAATTTTAATTTTCAAAATCCTAAATTTACAAATTTACAAATTCCAAATTTATAGATTTACAGATTTACAAAATCCTAAATTTACAAATTTATAGATTTACAGATTTACAAATTTACAAATTTACAAATTTACAAATTTACAAATTTACAAATTTAAATATTTTTAAATTTTCAAATGTTCAAATTCCAAAATTCCAAAGTTACAATTTTTAAAATTTCAAATTTACAAATTTACAAATTTTCAAATTCCAAAATTCCAAATTTACAATTCTCAAAATTTCAAATTTACTAATTTAATAATTCCAAATTTCACATTTACAGATTTATAAATTCTAAAATTAAAAAATTTCAGATTTTCAAATTTCAAATCCCCAGTTCCTAAATTTTCAAACTTTCCAATTTTCAAGTTCCTTAACCTCTTAAATTATTTGAATTTAAAATTATGAAATAGGTGTAAATTATTTTTTCAATTTATTTTAATTTACAATTTATTTTACAATTGTCAGTGATTTATTCCATTTAAATTTGGTGCAATTCAGACCAATCTTACCGCCATTAGAAGCTTGATAACTCGTGCAAATACGTCATAGGTACGACCCTGACCGGATCTTAACCCTTGTACATCCTTTAAATTATTTAATACATTCGTATCAATCGGTTTATAGATTGTTAGTAAATATATTAAACATTTGAAATATATCATTATAAAATATCTTTGTATATTCTAAAAAATGAAGCTAAATAATATTATATAGTATAATATAATATCAAAATATATTAAAATATTTAAAAAAAAAAAAAACTACCTAGTTTTCAAATTTCCAAATTCTTAAATTTTCTAAATCTGCAATCTTGGAATTGCAAATCTTATTATTTGAAAATCCCTAAATCTCTAGTTTCCAAATTTCTAAAATTTATAAAAACCAATTTCCAAATTTCCCAATTTTTTAAAATCTTGAAATGCTTCACTTTCTAACCCTTACATTTTCGAATTTCTATATTCCCAAGTTCTTAAATCGATGATCTGTATTATCAGTACACTATCTTGAATTTTAGTGATTAAAATATTGATAACACACGATACTAATCAATCAAGAGCTCCATAAATTATCTTTCAAGTATCACACTTTACTTCCTTTTTGTTTTATATTACTTGGACAATATCAATATTATATAATTTCAAAATATGTCATCATTCATCTCTGTACACACTCAATATTAAAAAATATACACTATCATATATTTTAAATATATTTACAGTTATTATCATTAATTATTATTATCAAAAAGAGTTGAATTTTATCAAGCGTAAATAATCTGCCTTTAATTGTTATTTTTTGTCATTTTTATTTTTAATAATATCATAATTAATTCTATAATCTTTTTGCTATTAATAACTTATCCGCTATAAATAACATGTATAGTGATTGTTAGGTAAACAAATATTGACATACGCGTTTGATAAGTTGGCATGCGACCCAGTAGAATTCACGCCGTATCCGGTTGTCAACTTACGAGACGCACGAGAGTACACACACATTTCTGAATTAGAATTGCTTGGAAAATTTAATTTACTGGGAGACAATTGATACCAGTTAATAAATCGCAATGGAAACGTAATAAAAGTCAAAATAATAGATATAAATCGTAGTACATAAGCGTAGTTGTAAAGGATGTATGTACCGCAATCAATTCTCTTTAACTGACATTAATAAAACTAAACGCATCCATGAAACGACCTATTAAACTTAGGGGCTTGGTAGCGTGATTCAATACAGTTGTTATTCAATTTGGTGCAGCACATACAACTTCCTGGAGAAGATGTTTAACCAGTTCTTCATCTTCGGAAGAACCAAAAAAGCCAAAAGTTGTAACAGAAGTACCGGGACCGCAATCACGTAATTTGTTCCAAGAACTAAATGCATTGCAAGTATGTTGAAAATGTTATTAGTTTGAAAATTATCAGATCATTTCAAAAGTCCATGTATTTTATAATAAATTATGATACAGAACTATTTTTGGTTCTAATGTTTCATAGTTATGTATACTGGGATGCATTATGTTTAAACAATTACTTATGAAATATCCTTTCAGTCATGTTTTGAATTTTTAATTATTTATAATGTCAAAGCATTACCAATGTTTCATCAAAATATCCTTTGTATAATGCAGAAAAAACACAGATCCAGTATCAAGCACTACAATTCTCTTAACTAATAATTTCTTACTTTAACTTCATTACATCCGTACAATTTATTATTATTTTTAGTGACCTAAGTTGTATTTATGGCTTTGTTATATCCATTGAATAAATAATGTTTTGTTTGCGTCTTTCTTCATTATTTTGGATTAAAAATTTAAACTACTAGTTCTAAATATGATTTAAAGATTTGTACAATAATTGTACAATTTCTACATAGGGATGTGATAGCGCAATAGAAGGGTTTTAATTAAAATACATATAAGATATAACCAGTACAAGGACTTTTGAAATTACCTGATATTTTTGAAACATAAATAATTAGTACAATATTTTATACATGATATAATTTTATTATATAAAAGTAAAAAAGTATATAAAAATAATTCTATAGTATTTATAACATTTAATTTTTTCTAAATATGTATGATAGAGATGAAATGGGTTATGTTAAAATCTGTGACTGCAGCAAGCCTCTTCCGTACAATTCTTCGCAGACTATGAGAAATCAGCAGGTAACTATATAGTGGATGTTGATGGAAATGCTCTACTCGATGTTTACATGCAAATTTCATCAATGCCTTTGGGTTACAATCATCCAGCTATGTTAAAAGCTCTCACAGATCCAGTTAATCAGGTATACTAAAAATATTTTAGAACCATCAGAAATTAACTTTTTTTTTAAATAAATATTAACTCTTTGCATTCAAAAGGTAAATCACATTAGTTTATTTGGTTTAATGCACTAACTTGAAGTAAATACAAGTGATTACAAGGGAAGCATAACGTACTAATATTTAGTCTTATAAATTAATTAAACCTATAATGTTTTAAATAAGATGATTAAATATAGCAAAAAAAAACAGTAATAGCAATTAATAATAATATTTACCATTAACTTTTAAACAAAGCTTTAAGTTGTTATGTTTCTACAACAAAAATATCTTTTCGTGCCAAGAGTTAATAGAACTATCATATAAAAATCTGAAATAAGTAACTACTGATTTTATTGTACTGAATAAAATAAAGCATTATCAAACTTTGTATTAGAGAATTATAGCAAATAGGCCAGCATTGGGTGTTTTTCCTGGAAAGGACTGGCCAAATAGGCTAAAAAAGATTATGCTACATAAAGAGGTATGTAACATGTTTACTTATCTCATATTATTCCACTATATTATAATATTATATTATATTTATCAATTTTTTATAACGAGGTAAAATAACTTTTGTGTTGATATTGCGGAATTAATACATATAGGTTGCACCTCCAGGAATGTCTCACATCACAACTATGATGTGTGGCTCTTGTTCCAATGAAAATGCGTTTAAAAACATTTTCATTTGGTACGCTGACAAACAGAGAAAAGGCGCTCCATTTACAGAACAAGAAGTAGCAACCTGTATGATGAATCAAGTTCCTGGTGCTCCAAAATTTTCGATACTTTCATTCAAAGGTGATCATCAATTTTATTAGAAAAATGTTAATATTAAATATTAATGAAATAATAATACTGTTATAGGCGCATTTCATGGAAGAACATTAGGATCTCTTTCAGTAACGCATAGTAAATATATTCATAAAATAGACATTCCAGCTTTTGATTGGCCCATTGCTTCATTTCCTGACTATAAATATCCATTAAATGAGAATGTTCGAGAGAATCAGCAAGAAGATGAACGATGTTTAGCTGAGGTTCATAACTATTCCGTTTTTTAATGAAAGTGAACAATAACCTGTTTCATATTCTCAATTTGTTACACGATTACTATTATTTTATTAGGTCGAGGAATTGTTTGAAAAGTATAATAATGAAAAGAAAATTCCTGTGGCTGGTGTAATAATTGAACCAATTCAATCAGAAGGAGGTGATAATCATGCATCCCCAGAATTTTTCCAAAAATTACAACGCATAACAAAAAAGGTAATACTTTAAAAGTACTACTATTTTATATATAATTAAATATTATTTTTCATATTGTTACCTTTTCAGCATGGTGCAGCATTGTTTATAGATGAAGTACAAACAGGTGGAGGTCCAACAGGAAAAATGTGGTGCCATGAACATTTTAATTTAGAATCTCCTCCGGATGTAGTAACATTTAGCAAAAAAATGCAATTGGGTGGCTATTATCACGTTGAATCTTTAAAGTAAAATTACTTAAAAATTATTGTAAATATTTAAAGTTATAAAATTTTATTTGCTAATATGTTTACTTATTATATTTATAGACCTAAGCAGCCATTCCGTGTTTTCAATACCTGGATGGGAGATCCTAGTAAAATGGTATTACTTGAAGCGGTTTTGGATACAATAAGAAAAGATAATTTATTAGATAGAGTTAATGATGTTGGTAATTACACAATGAAACATTTAATGAATATACAAAACGAGTTTTCGAGTGTGATGAACTCTGTCCGAGGACGTGGAACGTTCATTGCATTTAACTTGACTTCACCTGAACTGCGAGACGCAGTAATCAAGAAATTATTAAACAAAGGTAATATCCGCGGTATATGTATTAATTATCTATACTTATAGAAAATATTAGATACTATTTGAGAAATAAAATATAACGTAATAATAATGTAATTCCAGGTATCCAAACAGGTGGTTGTGGGAACACAGCTATAAGATTAAGGCCTGCCCTAACATTTACACAATCTCATGCAGATATATTTTTGGATGCTCTTCGTTCTGTTTTAAAAACATAATTTTTTAATAACTGCATTTAAAACTACATTTCACGTGGCTTCCAAAATCAAGTCTTCCAATAAAAGAGATTATACGTATTATTTTAATATACTTATATATACGGTTAATAATATATACAATTTATATTATTAACCGGTATATTATTTTTTATAGCGATTTTGTCATACAAATAGAATAAACAATAATTGTTATATAAGTATTATTTATATTTATGTAAAAAACTTTACAATATCTTATAGTATTACTTAGTATCACTTTTAGGATATTGTATTCTAATGTTTTATCAAACTGGTTGGATTTGCATATAAATCCTATTTTGTTTGTTCTTTAATGTACAATACATATTATCATGGTTACACGAAAAATGTAAAATCAATTTGTCTTCCAAAAGAATGATTAAAAAGAGACATTTAATGCATTTGCCAGTTTTTATATTTCCCTTTCATCAGACTGCGTATATAATTTCAAACCTCGGTCAAGTATTTCTTATGCTTTAATTCTATATTTATTTTAACATTTTTTTCAAAATATCCGCAAAATGTTCATACTCTACATCGTGACTTTTTTGCATCATATAAGCTGTCATTTTCATCTAAAGAAAAAGAGAGGAAAACTTTTATAGTTAAGAGTACTACTTTCAGAAACCATTTCTTTCCCTACCTTTACTTTTGAATCTATGTAATCATGTCGTTGAGATAAATTCCATAAATTCACAGCCATTTGTGCTAATGATGGATCACGGAGATCTGCTCTGATGACAAAACAATTAAATAATTCAATTGCAAGAGCAACTTGCTTCTCGATTTGATTAGTGGAACCAAGATATTTCAAATGTGATAAAATCTCTTCTACAATTTTGGAACACATTTTGTTAACTTCGCTTATAAATTTTTGATCAGATCCATACAACTTATCGTTCGAATCAACCTGAAAGTGAGATAACAATCATTTTAGAAGTATATTATCTGTAACAATGTCTTCTCATTATTATATAAAGTACCTTGTCAACATGATAAGGATAATTTTCTTGAGTTACTGTAGACAATAAATCAAGTACACGTAAATAAAGATAAGTCTTTGTTGATGTATTTTCCTCGAAGCATCGTTGAACGGCGTTAAGTAAACCTCTCATTAGATACAGTACACCGTGTTCTGGACTATCCTATGAAATATTTATACTGTTTAATAATATTTTGTATAACAAATATTTTAAAAGAACATTAGTGAGTACATACCGGAACAACCAATAATGTTGATAAAAAATTTGATAAATATGAAAGTAAATATGGTTGCGAGCTTTTCTGTTTTCCATCTATATCTATTGTTTTGGGCATTTCTGGAACCAAGCTCAATGCAGCTTTGAAACATGCATCAGCTGGTAAAATAATTTTTATTTAATAAAAAATATACAACAGGTACCATAAAAATGAAATGATTCATCTAAATTACCTTGCCCTAAACATTGATTCAAAAGTGCAACTTGGCCTGATAGGAGATACAACTGGAGTCGTGTATGAACTAAAGTTAGAAATGGAATGGTAATGAAACAAAATGCAGCACAAGCACGTACAAATGCTGATGTTCTTCTTGTATGATGTCCACGAACAATCTTCCGTGTATCAACAGATAATCTATTTACACACTGTATAACCAAAATAAAATAAGATATTTCATTTTACAGTCAAATAATAAAACAATCTCGAGGGATAAATACAAATAAATATACTAGTTAAATAATATGTAAGATTGTTAAAAACACTATAAAATTGAATTACCTGTACGAGTTGTATATGAACGCTATCGAGATTGGGGAAAGCTGCTCTAGCTTCAGCATAAAAATTAAGTTGTTTCTCAAAATCACGACCATAATCAACACGTTGTACTAAACCACATATAAGTTGACCAATTTGTCGTTTCTCATCTTCAACAGTTAGAGCACTGTAATTATTGTTTTATAATTATACAATAAACATAAATGTTTTTAAAACTGAGGTGTATTGTATTTACCTAACGGAGTCGTGCATTATTCTGGCAATAAACATAAGAGCATTTATAATAATAGGATCAGTGATAGGACCAGTTTGAATGCTTAAACCTTCTATAACAGTTTTACATACGTCAACTTTGACACTTTCCTTGTGAAATAAATCTATTAGAGGCAAGAAATTATCCTGAAAATTTTTTGCTAGAAAATATGTATACAATTCAAGAAAATGAAATAAAAGATAATGAATCAGACATAACTACCATTGCAAGTAGCGATTCAAAATCTTGTGTATGAGATACTACTTTTTCTATAATACTCTGTAGCTTTAAATAGTGATTTTCAAAGCTTTTATTTGGATTAAGCCGGTCGATTATTTTCCCAAAAAACACATTTAGTTCATTTACCTGTAATATGAAAATTATGAAAGAAAATATACTTTTATTTCTTAAATAATACTTTGAACTTACAGAAAAATGAATAGCAGTAAATTGAATCCAAATTTCAATGCAATGCATAAATTTATTGGGATTGGTTAAATCAGTTATGTATTTCCATATTACATTCAAAATTTGCTGACAATCTTCTTTTGGTGGTGATTCTTGTACGAGGCTTTCACCTAAACTTCGGTACAAAAGATATTGTGGAAAACCTAAGAAATAAAAATTAAAATAATATAAACATTTATATTACGAAGTGCTTACCAATTATTAATCAGTTTGTTATTTCTTATAATCACCATCGTCTTCAGTTACGGCTATCAAGTTTACAAAATCCATTGCTCTTCCAGCAATGTATGATGGTTTAAATGCTGTTAAAATACTATTTAATAACAGCGAACTGAAAGGAAAACATATTTCAACAATATGCTAACAGCGTTATTAAATAATGTATAATCACCTATTTTCTTGCTTCTTACACCTAGCAAGCACATCTTCCAAATGACTCTCAGGTGTTGTAGCTACTAAAACTTGTAAAATCCAATCTAAAGCTGGTGAGTAGAGATTTAAATAAGAATATAAAGTCATATTTTGTTTAATTAGTTCATTCTTTACAAATTGTCCAAACAGTTGCTGGTAAGTGATAAGAAAATCGTAAAAGTTTTCTCTCACAAATTCAAAATCTGATGTTTTGTTCAAAGCTAGACCCACTCGGCATAAATAACATCTAGCATATACAGCTATAAGAGGATTTCCAATTCCTCTTATCATTCCAGTTATCCTTAACAAGGCTGTATTAAATTCACTGAATTAAAAATTCTTTGTTAGTGTTGAAGTTACGTAATAAATCTTATATGTAAATAAATGATATAAACAAATTACTTTAAGCAAGAAATACAATGATATATCAATAGTATTGCGACACTAGAACTTAATACATGACCGAATGATCAAATTTTATGAGAGTAACATTTATTTATATAAATAATAATATTATGAAATATAGTATTACCTTGTTGTTAAAAAGCTGTAGGATTTTATTATTGCCATTTCTACGTACAAACGTGGTACTAGCTCTCTTATTGATGCTATTTTATAAAACCAGTTTCTACAAGTTTCTTTTGCATTTTCAGGTACCATGTCAGGTGTAAAGTTATCAGGTAAACTTGTAGGGGTTTTACTTCCTGGTCTGCAAAATATCATACAAACATGTTCAACATAACACTGGAAAACGTAATGTACAGAATGCTGAACAAATTTGATATTACAATGTTTTAATTAGGTTTAATTTCAATAACATAAGTTTAATTTCAACTTTCTACGAAAAATAAAAAAGGTTTTGAAGATTTTTTGTGCGCCAATAAAATTTCAATTTAATATTAATGATCTTCAGTTTGAAACCTTTTTTACTAAGCTATTAGAATCAGAATATAAAAATAACATCAAAAATAGAAAATACTAACTTGTAATATTCTGCTTTAACTTTTAGTCTTTCATAAACGAGTTTTCCAAAAATATCTAAAATATCTGTAATAAGAACGAACTTGCTGGGATAAAAAGCCATAACAGATGTATCTACTAATAATTTGGCACACTGAAATAATTTAGAATTAATTTAACCTATGTTTATACAAAAATTTATAAATTAATTGTGAAGAGCATATCAAAAGAAAAACCTGAATTGCTATTTTAAGTGCTTTAACTCTTTGATCTGAATGCCATGCTTGTACAAGTTCATTATTTAATTGTTCAATTCTTGCAGTGTACTGTTGCTGTGATAGGTCTAACATTTGTCTAATAGATCCTTCTTCGAAATCATCTAACTGTTCCAATCTTGTCCTTACTTTATCAACCACTCCGCCACTTGGTTGAACTTTTACAACAACTAATAAATATATATGCAGACAGTATTTTAGATTTCATTGTCCATCATTTCAATATTAATGCTGCCTAAAAATGTAACTGTAATACCTTTTTCACCACCTGACAGAAAACTAGTAACAATCGACAACTTTTCAGAAGTTGTATATTTGCTTAATATTGTAGCTCGTCTTGCTAACCATGGTTCCACTAATTCTTCAGCAGTATCTTTAGATTTTTTTCCAGTAACTGCAGCATTGCAAGAATAGTCCCACTGCAATATAAATATTATGTTATAAAATGTAAATTATACAAAATATAATAAAAAATACAAATACTATGAAAAAGTAATGTAATTACCTCATCTGCAGCCATTTTAGATAAAGGATCTAATTCTTCTCTAGCAAATTGTGAAAGAGGATCAGATCCATCGAAAGAAGAATGACTTAATAATGGATCTGTTAAAGGATTCCCAGGAATTGGGGTATGTGTTGGTGTCGGTGTAGCAGTTGAAGAACTGGTACTTGTACTTCGTAATACATTACGCTTAACCCCACTGCGTCCATCAATTAGCTATTAATACATGATTCAAAAGCAATATTAGAATGATATACTACATAAAATACCAATATTAATGAGCTCTATAACTGTTATTAAAATATTAAATTAGTGCCAAAATAAAATGAAATTTTAATACTATATAATTCACACTGCACTGACAATAATTATTACCATAACAGTAACAGGTTTTAGAGGATGGTCTGTTGTTTCTTCTAAACATGCAAACCGTATTGCTTTATAGTTTACAGGTTTGGCAATCCTATAAAATAAGTAAAACGTTTATGACATTACCGGTGCAAACATTAATAAAAGTATTATAAATGCGTACCAGTTTATTTCCGTCATATTTTGAATATATTGGAATATGTTTACAATGAAGCAATAGAATAAAATCTATTATTTACATAAGTTTTTTATCAAAAAAGCATAACATAACCCTTCATTTTATATTCAAATATGACAACTAAAACTTCAAATGTAAAATAGAAGGATTATTTTTAGCCAAATTTTTGGTATATGACATTAGAAGAGTGTTTCTATATGAACACACAAGTACAAATCTGGTTTCTTTGGGGAAAATGGCAGCCAAAGGAGATAGGTTCCTATCATTTGCAATAACATCCTCTCATTGGTATATAATATATTTAATAAAATCATTTCAAAAATTCAATTTTCGTAAATACAGTTTTTAACTCATTGGAAAGTCATCCATCTAGTTTTATCGTGCCTGTACTGCATCTAATTTGATGATCAACAACAAAACGTAAAAGTGCCTTATTTTACAGAAATCATTTCTTATTTTGATAGTTTTGTATTTGATCACTAGACGGCGAAAGTAGTATTTTTTTTGGATAATGGACGGGAAAATATAAAATTTGAAATATATGTAACAATGAGGCACCTAAATTAATTACTTTATAATAAATTATTGTCATCTATATATTTTTTGCATATTAAATCGTTGCATTGCATCCATTATAAATGTAAACTTTAATTACACGAAATGTTGATTACATTGACTACGTTTCCATCGAGGGTCCAAATCGGGTCAGAGTCGGGTTAGAGTCGGGTTGGGGTCAGCGCTTGTACGGTGGAAACGCCAAAGGTTTAGTTGAACTCTACCCTACAAAATTTTAGGGTAGCGTTCAGTTGAGGTTCGGTGGAAACGACAAGAGTCGAGTTCGTGTTGCCAACATAACAAATCCAAATTGCATTGTGTATCACGTGCTGTATTAATCGGTGTAGAAGAGGTTACTATTACTTTTTGTCGGTGATCTTGTAATCTGAGAAATAATTTTTGTATGTTATTTTGATATT